TATCTCTATGCCTCTTCTTAGAGAGTAAGCAAGCATATTTAGAGCTGTTACCAAACCTCACAGATCTTCATCCTGCAATAAAATTCTCCATAAATTTTTACCATTTCTTACATTTTCTATGTTGATTTTTAAAGGAATTGCACTAAATAAATAAAAAAAAAGAATAATATGTGCTTTAATAGCTGCTAATCTTCCCAATAATGATAGCTGTGTTTTGGTCCATTCTTTTATCTTTTGTATGTGTTCCATCTTCCAGGAGCTTGGTTTGCTTTGCCCTTTAGTTGCTTGAAATAGCACCCCTTTGCTTTTTCCCCAGGGTTGCTGCAGTCTTAGCTGCACCCTGAAAGTTAATTGTTAACAGAGGCTGGAAGCCAGCCTGCAAGCCTTTTGCAGCTATTGGTTTAAAAAGTGTCCTTTTGGTCTAGAGACCACCCTTTTTCCTGGGGATGAGATCTCCATTTTGGGAAAGCTCTCCTGCTTTCTTTAGTATAGAAAAAGCCTCAGATGTGCTGGTGGCCAAACTAGAGACTCCCCCCTGGGCACACAGAGGACTGGGTGACCTGGAAGGCGCTGAACAGACTGCGCTCTGGCACCACAAGATGCATAGCCAACCTTCGGAAATGGGGGCTACAAAGAGGAATCCTCGACATGCAACATGCGAGTGTGGAGAGGAGCAAACCTGCTGCAATGCAACCTGAGCCCTGCCACAGCAACAGGGTGTCTGTAGATCTTAGAAAACTATTTCTAGATTTAAGTCATTGATGTGCTGGCTGATACCCAAACAGGGGATGAGCTGGAGATGTCTCTGCCTTGGTCCTTTCACTATTGGCTGCTACTTCCCGGCGGATGTCAGGTGGTGCAATACCGGCTAAACAGTGTAATTTCTCCAGTGGTGTAGGGCACAGACACCCTGTGATAATGCAGCATGTCTCATTAAGAGCCACATCCACTGTTTTAGTGTAGTGAGATGTGTTCCACACTGGGCATGCATACTCAGCAGCAGAGTAGCACAGCGCAAGGGCAGATGTCTTCACTGTATCTGGTTGTGATCCCCAGGTTGTGCCAGTCAGCTTTTCGTATGATATTGTTTCTAGCACCCACTTTTTGCTTGATGTTCAGGCAGTGCTTCTAGAAATAAGTTGTTGTTGTTGTTATAGTTATATTAAGGTAAAAAAAACGCTTACAGTTTTTCCTGGAATGTTTAATCTGTGGACATGAATGGCCAATTGGAACTGCACCAAATAAATTGCCATTGGGTTGTTGTAGGTTTTTCGGGCTATGGCAAGCATTCTCACAACCTCTGAGAATGCTTGCCGTAGATACAGGTGAAACGTCAGGAGAGAATGCTTCTAGAACATGGCCATATAGCCCGTAAAACCTACAACAACCCAGTGATTCCAGTCATGAAAGCCTTTGACAATACACTAAATTGCCATTGTGGATAGGACACACTTTAAGCTCCGCTTTAAGCTATTGATGAACAGTTGCCATTAAGTTGTGTTATAGATTGGAATCTCCAATTTCTCCTTTAAACCATGAATACATAAAACCACTGTCACTTTGAAAATACTGCAGAAATGCACTTTCTCCTGATTGAAAGTAGGATACCTTCACTCCTCTTTCAAGCAAGTTTTTCTCAAACAGCCTTGACGCTAGGAGTTCGGAAGCCTTTTTGTATCATCCCAAATCTTATGCCAACTCAATCAACTCATGCTGATCAAATTCCTTATGAACAGAGTCATCTTAAATTTCAAAATCTTCATTGTTTCTGTCCCTAACATTTACATAAGTATGCATGTGAATTTTAAAAAAATACATTCCGCTAACTCCTCGTACACAGACAAGAACTTGGACTACATTTTGGAATATGATTCACTATATAGAGTGGTACATAACCTCTCATCGCACTGCCCCATGTATAATTGAATAGCTTAGACAAGTATGAACAACTTGCTGATCTCCAAGCTCATTACCCCATCCCTCCCCACTTGAGGGAGGTTTGTTCTCAGCTAACAAGAGAGCAGTAGTGCTTTCTTTGATCCTGCCTAGAGTGGGCACATTAAGTTGTAGAGTAAAAGTTTGACATGATAGAAGAAAACTAGCTGCAGTTTTGAAATTAGCATGCCCATTTAAGTCTAAAACAGTTGAAAACTCAATCTCAGAGGAATTATGTTAAAAATTGTTCCCCTGTGTAATTTACTACATCTGCTACCAGAAAATAAAATATCATCTATCTGTGCAAGACCAGGTTATCTCAACAATGACTAATTTATGTTCGCTGTTTGTTAGAAAGGTTCTAATTAACTCCTTTGTTTGTCTTTGTTCTGCTGCTGAAAGATGTGACAGCTAGAGGTTTTAGTTATGCTACTGAAACTCAAAAAACATGTTTCTCAAACAGAAGAAAGAATCAAGCAGAATTATCAAGATATATATCTGAAGCTAAACAATTTTTTTAACACCCACAGAACAAACTACAGAAAAACAAGAGCAAGATATAGCATACCAGATGCATTAATAGCTCAAAAAGAAGAGCAACATTTGAACAAGCAGGCTTCCATAAACAGGATATGTATACAAACAAGTGGGTGCAATTCACCAGGATGAGGGAAAACAAAGAATCCTACACAACATTGCAAGGAGGAAGATATTCAAGTTTTCATGTTTTACTATAAGAGTCAGACAAAATCTTTTCAAGAAGAAAAAATTGCACAGAGGAAACCTGCATGAACCGTTTGTGAGCCCATTTTGATGGCAAAAGCATGCAAAAATCAAATGGACATGTTGTTACCTTAAAAATGGCTTGATTTACAAGAAAAACATTAAGACTGGAACTAGACAAATGAATGGAAAACTCTGGGAGAATTAAAACAAATCAACATTGTTTTTGTGTGTGGAAGGGATGGATTGATAAAATAAATAAAAGGGAAATGAAATATAAAGACAAAATTGTAAGAATTGACAGAACCCCTTGTATTAATATTATCTATGGGGAGGTTGAACATTCAAAACAAAGGGGACATAGAAGAAGATATTATATAGAAAAATGTTGGAATATAATAAGATTAAGACAGATTAAAAAGAAAAATCAGGGAATGATATAAGATTGATATGATTAACTTACATTAAAATGGGATAAAATTTAAGGTAATCATCTAAAGATTAATTTACTAAATATTGTGGTTGTGTATCAATTACAAACATGGTGATTTATATTTAGCAGAAGCTGAAACGCTAATAAGGAAAAAAGAAAGAAGTATTTGTAATAGTTTGATTGTTGCCTTTGCTTGAGGGGAAATGTCAGCTGTGTTTTTAATGTTTTCTTTTTGTGGGTGTTTAATTCTATGTTGGCAAGATGGGGAAAATTGTGGAGTGGAATGTTGTGGGGGGGCATTGTTTTAAAGAGGAAAAATACATTCAGGAATATATGACACATAAATGAATTGAGTGTTTAGACTTGGGTCCCCTTTCTCACAATTTATTTAGTCTTTGAGTCATAATTGATGTACATATTTCCTGATTAAGAGGGTACTTTAGTTAGCTTGCTAAAAATATCCACTACCCTGCATTCATGTGTGATCAGTAATGGAATCTTGTCTACCTTGAATCACTAGTATATAAAACAGGAGTGTTTCTTATTTCTTACTTAGGTTTCATTACCTAACCCTAGAAATAGTTGCTTGTTTCTGATTTTTGAAACTTTGGGACTATTGCAGTGATTTTATATGTAGTCTAGATGGCCCATGTGGTCTCTTCCAACTTTATTATTCTATTACTAGCCGTCCCCTGCCACATGTTGCTGTGGCCCACTCTGGTGATCTGGAAAATAAAGTAATAGGAAAGTGTTGGTTTCTAATATATGTCATTTCTTTATGCTTGTGGATAAACACAAACAACACTGTTTCTTTGTCAGTGTTGATGTGGAGATTGTCTGGTTTGTCTACTCTGGAACATGCAACATATAATTGTCCTTCTTTAGGGGTCCCTTTCAAATCTAGGATACTATATTTGTGTGTGTGTGTGTGTGTGTGTCTGTGAATCATATCTATCTATCTATCATCTATCTGTCTGTCTGTCTGTCTGTCTGTCTGTCTGTCTGTCTGTCTATTTATTATCTATGGCTGGATGGCTCTTTGTCAGGAGGGGTTTGAATACATTTTCTTGCCATGGTGAAGGGAGTTGGACTGGATGGCCTTAAGTATTTTCTGTTGGTCATGGGGGTTCTGTGTGGGAAGTTTGCTCCAATTCTGTCATTGGTGGGGTTCAGAATGCTCTATGATTGTAGGTGAACTATAAATCCCAGTAACTACAACTCCCAAATGTCAAGGTCTATTTTCCCCAAACTTCATCTGTGTTCATATTTGGGCATATGGAATATTCATGCCAAGTTTGGTCCAGATCCATCATTGTTTGAGTCCACTGTGCTCTCTGGATGTAGGTGAACTACAACTCCCAAGCTCAAGGTCAATGGCCACAAAGCCTTGTAGTGTTTTCTGTTGGTCATGGGCATCCTGTGTGCCACGTTTGGCTCAGTTCCATAATTGGTAGAGTTCAGAATGCTCTTTTATTGTAAGTAAACTATAAATCTTAGTAACTACAACTCCCAAATGACAAAATCAATTTTTTGAGTGATGGTCACTCCTTGGGTAAGTAGGTGCCTTGTGGCCAAATTTGGCAGCAATTCATCCAGTAGCTTTTGAGTTATGTTAATCCTACAAATGAACATTACATTTTTATTTATATAGATGACATGCTTTATTAATGATATCATTGCACATATTTACATTTCACTCATCTGTGAGGAGGAACTATTTACACTAGCAAATTTACCAAAATAAAGTCATGTCCAACTTTCTCATCACCTGATTTTCAATAAATACCCGAATAAGCCTAGTATGATGCATTGTGCTTTCTATGATGAACACCATATTATCAGACGCTCAGTGAAACTCTATCACTGTTTATCGATTATAGTTTTTTTTATGTAAAGTGTAATTACCTACCTTGTATTTCACCATATCCTCCACTCTACTTTGCATTGACTTTCCAGCTTTGGGCCGCACAAGAATATAAACAACTTTCACATCTTGGCTGGAGCGCAGAAGCTTTTCCAGAAGTACTTTGCCCATAAAACCCGTGGCTCCTGTAATAAGTACTGACTTCCCATTGTAGTAAGTTGCAACTGAAGACATTTTGCTTTGGGTTTCCAAGTTCGTCCTGGAGATATCTAAGAGGAAGATAAGAGCATTCAAGGCATTAGTTGTCAGAAATTCTGTGTATGTTGTCCATTTATATTGCCAAATGGTAACTACCTTGTGGTTTTCCACATTCTGTTGAAAGGCTCAAGGTTAAGTTTTTCACACATGGTTTCTTCTCAACAAGAAGTGGCAGCATGCATAATGTGTCAAATTACTATGTTTTCCATGAGACTAGCTATGATTGGCTTTTGTAGCAAAACCAACAAATGGTTATGTGGCACCTTAAAGATTAATTAATATTAGAAATATGGATAAAGTTGTTACATCAGTCTTTCTTATGTACTTTGGCATGTTATTTAGATAGCCAGGATCCATTGTTGGGATTCTCAAGCTGTGGTGTTGTATTTCTAATAAAATTAATGATATAAAATTTATATACTACTAACCGTCCCCAGCCTCGCGTTGCTGTGGCCCAGTCTGGTAATGAGAAACTGTTAATTTCTAATATATGTAATTTCTTTATACTCGTGGATAAACAGTACTTCTTGTTGATACTATATCTGTGTGTGCATGTGTGTGTGAATCATATATATACCTATATCTATGGCTGGATGGCTCTTTATCAGAAGGGTTTTCTTGACCTGGTGAAGGGAGTTGGACTGGATGGCCTTAAGTATTTTCTGTTGGTCATGGGGGTTCTGTGTGGGAAGTTTGTCCCAGTTCTGTCATGGGGTTCAGAACACTCTGATTGTAGGTGAACTATAAATCCCAGTAACTACAACTCCCAAATGTCAAGGTCTATTTCCCCAAAACTCCATCTGTGTTCATATTTGGGCATATGGAATATTAGTGCCAAGTTTGGTCCAGATCCATCATTGTTTGAGTCCACAGTGCTCTCTGGATGTAGGTGAACTAAAACTCCAAACTCAAGGTCAATGCCGACCAAACCCTTCTAGTGTTTCTGTTGGCCATGGGAGTCCTGTGCGCCAAGTTTGGTTCAATTCTATCATTGGTGGAGTTCAGAATGCTCTTTGATTGTAGGTGAACTATAAATCCCAGCAACTACAACTCCCAAATGACAAAATCAATTTTTTGATTGATGGTCACTCCTTGGGTTAGTAGGTGTCTTGTGGCCAAATTTGGTGGCAATTCGTCCAGTTGTTTTTGAGTTATGTTAATCCCACAAATGAACATTACATTTTATTTATATAGATTCAATTTACAGGCAGTCCCTGAGTTACAAACATCTGACTTACAAATGACTCATAGTTAAGAACAGGGATGAGACAACAGGACGTGAGAGAAATCTACCCCCAGGAAGGGAAATTCACTCCTGAAAGAGTTATCATGGGGAAAAGGTGTCACCACTGAAGCGTCATTAGCAATCCTTGTTTCCACAACAAGACACAGTCACATTTTTCAAAAGTCAATTCTCATAGGGACAGAAAGTGAGGTGAAGTCTCAGAGATAGTCAAGCAGACACCACAGGGTATGAACCTTTCCCTTTTCTATCCAAAACATCTATCTATCTATCTATCTATCTATCTATCTATCTATCTATCTATCTATCTATCTATCCATCTATCTCAGTGGTTCCCAACCTGGGGGTCGGGACCCCTGGAGGGGTCGCGACGGGGTGTTGGAGGGGTCGCCTAAGACCACCAGGATACACAGTATTTTCTGCTGGTCATGGGAGTTCTGTGTGGGAAGTTTGGCCTAATTTTATTGTTGGTGGGCTTCAGAATGCTCTTTGATTGTAGGTGAACTATAAACCCCAGCAACTACAACTCCCAAATTGCAAGGTCTATTTTCCCCAAACCCCACTGGTGTTTACATTTGGGCATATTGAGTATTCGTGCCAAGTTTAGTCCAGATCTATCAATGTTGGAGTCCACAGTGCTTTCTGGAGATAGGTGAACTACAACTCCCAAACTCAAAGCCAATGCTCACCTAACCCTTTCATTATGGTCATGGGCATTCTGTGTGCCAAGTTTGAGTCAATTCCATCTCTGGTGGAGTTCAGAATTTGATTGTAGGTGAACTATAAATCCCAGCAACTACAACTCCCAAGGTCCAGAGAATGAAAATACATCCTGCATATCAGATATTTACATTACTATTCATAACAGCAGCAAAATGACAGTTATGAAGTAGCAATGGAACTAATTTTGTGGTTGGGGGTTACCATAACATGAGGAAGCGTATTAAGGGGTCGTGGCATTAGGAAGGTTGAGAACCCCTGATCTATCTGGTGTTCAACTTAAAAATGTACCTGTTCTGACTTACAAACAACTTCAATATAAAAACAAATCTACAGAATCTATCTTTTTTGGAACTTGAGTACTGTTTGCACATTCAATAAGTAGCTCGATTTTCATGGGGTTTCCCCTAGTTCCCAAATAGAACAATATAAGAATTAGTGTATTTTGAACATATTCAGAACCCCAAAAGTGGCAAAATCTGACTTATTACTTTTGCTCAATAATGATCTTTGTTAGTGGGTATTAAACTTACGATCTTAAGATCATGCACAAAGGTCCATATGGAGTAAGCTAAAGAACTATATTTTCAGGAACACAGTGATAGAACTTGTAACATGATTCACTCTATAAAAAGAACCAATGATCAATGAGTTAAGAGAACAAGGCATGTAGACACTAAGCAGGCAACTGTTCTAGTCATGTCTTGATCCTGGACATGATCCTTGTCTGAGTAGGGTTACTCAAACCATTTCTAGAAAGTGTCAGCTTCCATCAGAGTGGGGCCCAATACAGTAGGTGTTGGAATATAGAGAAATTAATAATAGCGAAACCCTCGATTCTATGCAGATAATAATATAATAATAATAATAAGACTTTATTTGTACCCCGCTACCATCTCCCGAGGGACTCGGTGCGGCTTACATGAGGCCGAGCCCACAATACAACAATAACAATAACAACAATAATACAAAAACAATACAAAACTCATAGCAAAATAAGCAAAAACAATAACAATAACACGACACATTTACAAACCATTGGCTGGGCCGAATGTAATAATTAAAATGTTTAAAAAATAATGCTGGGCATGAACAGGTAACATGTAATTGGAATAAAGATTTTGGAGAGAGAAAAATGTGCAGACAATCCAGAATCATTATTAAAGTGCGTTTGAGGACATATTGCTGGGACTTTCCTTATTCTGGGAAGGCACACTGAAACAGCCACGTTTTCAAGCTCCTCCTAAAGACTGCCAGAGTTGGGGCTTGTCTAATATCCCTGGGGAGTGAGTTTCAGAGTCGAGGGGCCACCACCGAGAAGGCCCTCTCACTCGCCCCCACCAATCACGCTTGCGATGGTGGTGGAAGCGTGAGCAGGGCCTCTCCAGATGATCGAAGAGATCGTGTGGGTTCGTACACAGAGATGCGGTCACGCAGGTAGGCGGGTCCCAAACCGTTTAGGGTTTAGATAGGCCATGTCTTTTGGCCCTTAGTGAAAATGACTTCTCACAATTTATAGGAACCCATGATATAGCTTCCGGTATGATGGCGGAGAGGTAACAGCTCTTGCAGAGCAGTCCGGTGAGATCTTCAATCTAAGCCTAATCCCTCGCATCCAGACCTCCCCAACCACCAACAACCACCTCTGGCACCCGGGGGCTTGAAGGAGCCCTTTGGGTGTCTTTTTGGTGAGCTTCCATCTGGAAAAGGGGAGTTAAGAGGAAGAGGGAGGAGAGGTTGAACGCTGAGGCCACCTCCATCTTGGGGCCTTGTAAGAGCATAAGAGCGTTCCCGAGCTACTGACTGTTGCTGCCGGATCATCTGCTGCTAACCCTCCCTACCGAGCCACAGCCCAAGAACACTGCAGGGCTTGCAACTTACCAGCGGGTCGAGCGGCTTGTCTCCTGCTGCCGCTCCGTTTTCCATCGTCTGGGCCTGTGGTGTCGCTGCCCCTCCTCTCCGCCTTCTTCGGCAGCGGGCTGGGCCGCCGCCCTCGCCGCCGTGCCGTGGGCGGCTGTTGCTCCCTGTGGGGGGGCCGCTGCTTCGTTTGCCGGTTGGGGGTCTTCGTCCGCTCGGCTCTTCCGTCGGCCGGCCGCTCCTCCTCGGCGTCTCGGCGTGTCTGCCCGCCCGGCGTCCTGTCCCTTCTGCCGGCGTTCCCCCTGCGTCCTCCTGCGCCTTCCCACGCTTCCCTGCGCTTGGCGGCTGGGCGGCGGAGGGATCGAGCTGCTGCGGCATCTTCCCCGCCTCTCCATCTGGCGGATACATTGTGGAGGGATCGTGCTGCTGCATCTTTTTGCTTTCCATCAGGCGGAGGCTCGGGCGCGCATTAGCGCATTAACAGCTGGAGCGGCATCCAGGGACGGAGGCTGTACACCCATCCACCAACGGCGGAGGCTCCAGTGGAGGGGAGGGGTGCTCCTCAGCGGAGGGAACATCAAGGCCGCAGGATCTGCGAGGCCGCAGCTGTTTGGGCCTTGTGCTTTGGCCAGTTTCCCACCTTGCTATTCTACACAGCGTTAGCCAAATTGCCTTCGCTTGTACTACCACCGCATGGGCAAAGGGCCCTTTAAAATCTGGGCCTTATAAGAATAACTGCCGGAACGTAAATTTTGGTTTTTAGTTTAGTCTAGTTTAGTTTAGTTCAGTTTAGTCTGTTTTATTGTGTGATGTGTGTTGATAGGTGCTTGCTGGTTGTTGTAATACGTATTTGTGACGGACATTTAAGATCTAAACATTTAAGCAGTAGACAGGAAGTGTTGTCTGTCCATGACTCAGCGTTTTGCTGTCATCTCCAGAGATCTATACTGCCCTCTATGGTCAAGCCAAGTTGAGCAAGGCAACATCATTCAACGCAGCCAGAACTTGTGCTGGTAATTAGTGTTAAACAACTATAGTCTTCACTATCCGGGCTGCCATCTTCCCGTGAACTGGGTCATCTTTTCAGAGGACGGCCAGGAAGAACCAGGGACTTGGCCAATGGGCACCGGTCAGTTTTCCACGGGTCCAGGGAGCTGGGTCCCTTGGTTTTTGAAATTACCGTCCTGACTG